CCACTCATCCATCTATCTAGTCACCTACTCATCCATCCATCCATCCACCCATCCACCCATTCATTCATCCATCTATCCATACATCCACTACACATCCATCTATCCATCCATCCATCCATCCTCCAACCACTCATTCACCCATCCATCTATCCATTCACTCATCCATCCATCTATCCACCTACTAACCATCCATCCACCTATCCATCCACTCATCCATCTATCTAGTCACCTACTCATCCATCCATCCATCCACCCATCCACCCATCCATCCATCCATCCATCCACCCATCCACCCATTCATTCATCCAACTATCCATACATCCACTACACATCCATCCATCCATCCATCCATCCATCCATCCATCCATCCATCCATTCCACTTATCCTATCCACTTATCCATCTATCTATTCACCTACCCATTCATCTGTCCACCCGCCCATCCACTCATCTATCCATCCATCCATCTATTCACCTACCCATTTGTTCGTCTGTCCATCCATCCATCCATCCTTCCATCCATCCATCTATCCATCCATCCATCCATCCATCCATCCATCCATCCATCCATCCATCCATCTATCCAGTCATCCAGCCATCCATTCATCCAACATTTATTCAGTACCTCCCATATACCAGGCCCTGTGCTAGATACTGGGCATAGTCTCTGCTTCTAAGAAATGCACTCTCCCTAGCACCATTCCTGGGATTTAATCACTCTCCCCCAATTTCCCAAGGCCCTAACTTGGGGAGGTGGACAGTATAGAGTTGTATTATCTATCTCCTCTAATTCCTGCCTAAGGTTTCTGACTTTGCTTGCACCTCCCTGCATCTAAACTCCCTGCCTCTCATCATGCTCCTCCCTGTGCCCCCAACTCCAATTCCTCCCTCTGAACGAATCCACCCTCCTATTATAGGTGCTTTCCAGGGTCTGACTGCACCAAGGGTTTCCCCAGGAATCGTCTCTGCACAGGTACTCGGGAGGAGAGGGGTTTGTGTGCTGGGAAGACCGAGAGGTTTACCACTTCTCCCATTTTTGGTGAAGGCCTGAATTAGGATCCATGGCTCCTTAGAGCCCCACAGTGCACACGGCAAGAGATTGCCATCCCTGAAGTCTACTGTGTGAATGGAGCCCTCTGGAGTTGCGCGGGATACAGCTTGGGTGGCAGGCAGCCCTGGGGTCTTAGGCCTTCTAAACAGATGGCATCACTGGCAGATAAGGGTCTCCTTTTGCTTTTTCTAGAAGTCTGCTGGCAGTGTGCCTGCAGCAGCCCTGCCTGCCCGGGAACCTCTGAGCTCCTCCTGCTATCAGCTGTGCTGGGCCACAGCACTAGACAAGTGTCTGAGTGGCACCCCACCCCAAGCCTGTCTCAAGCCCTATTGGGGTAAGAATTCAGGCCAGACCTCAATCCTGGGTGTGGGGACAGCTGACTGACTCCTTGATCCACAGGAGAGCATGCATATCCAGCTGGGGTCATCAAAGAAACCTTGATGCAGCTTTCCTCATTTCTTGCATGGTCCACAGAGTTAGGGAGACTAGTACCCCCTGAGTCTGTAGTACCCCTGACGGCCACAGCAGGTAAAGTGGGGATGAGACTGGGATTTGAGTGTGTATATCCAGGGTGGGAGACTGCTGTCTCAGCCCTTCCCCATCGGTTTCTTTGAGAATGGCGCAGGTACAATAAGCCCAGGCTCCATCCATTCTCCTTTGTCCCTGTAGGCTACTTGCCCCAACAGCAGAGTTCCCTGGACTCAATACTCCTTTGCCTTCTTTTCCTTCCTTCTACCACCCCCTTGCCAGTCTTGGTGACCCCCAGTTTCTGTTCTGTCCTGGCTCCTTGCTACTGTAAGGCCTGGAATGAGGCAAGAGTTCTAGAGAGGGAAGCAGGTGCGGTAGGGAGAATCCCATACTGTCCTGCCCACTGCTTATCATCCTTACCATCCTGCCCATGCAGATGGTCACTCCTTCATCTTTCCTGTGATCTCTCCCCCATGTGTGGACCTTGCCTGGCCCTGCCTTGCTGTCCCGCCTGTGCATCACCTGATTGGAAGGGCTGGTGAAGCGACGTCCACCCACTTCTCACACTGGCCTTAAGAGACCTCCACTTGGCAGTAATAAAAACTTTTTTTTTAATGAGAGTAGTTCCTGTTGTCCATCATTCTTCCCATGAGCACCCAATGCCCATGCCTATGTTGAACAAGTATAAAGTTTGCCCCATTATCTATTTATCTGTCTATTGCTATCATCTATTATGTAATCTATATATGGATCCAAATATGTATTAGTCTATGTATTTCTATATCAATGCATCTATCCACTCTGTGTGTGTATTCACATGTGTATGTAAGTATTTATTTATCTGTCTTGGTGTGTAGGTGCTCAAATGCCCACACATATGCATGTTTGCACACACACACTGATATTATTTCATGGCACTTATTTGCTAAGTCTTTCAGCATGCATCTCCCCCAAATAAGGAATTTTTCTTACAAAACCATGATATCACATCCACATCTAAACAAATGTACTCTAACTTCTCAATCTAAGCATACAGACATTGGTTCCCTAATCGCATGTATATTTTTGTCATAGCAGCAAATACAGTGAAAGTCCATTTTTCACATTCTGCTCTTTCATTTACACATACTCCAGAGGCATGTTTGCTTGGCTCTTCTTGGCAGCAAGTTTCAAATCTTCTTTCTGTCCCCTTTCAGGGAAAGTGGATGTGGGGAAGAGAGGAATATAGGCAAAAGGAAAAGAAGAAGGGATATTCAGAAAGGAGGATGGGCTCATCCCTCCACATTTTTTTCCTTTTGAAGGACATAGGATGGATAATGATGGTGCAAAGAGTGGGGGAGGCGAGTGAGGACACCTTTTTACTCCCACCTGGGACAAGTACTGGTCCAAGAGATGTCTTTCAAGAGGTCTCTTAATTGTCAAATACTCTTGAGCTGTGCTGTTCAAAAAGTAGCCACCAGCCATATGTGATTATTTAAATGCAATTTGAACAAAACAAAATGAACAATTTAGCTCTTCCCTTGCACTAGCCACATTTCAATGCCCAATAGTTACATGGGACTTGTGGCTATTGTACTGGACAGTAAGGACTCTAGAGCATTTCCCGCAGTACATAAAGTTCTATGGGATACAACTCTAGAATTAAATTTTAAGGATGGTAGAGCACATCTGGCCTTCTCTACTGTCAAGCTGGAGGCCCTGCTGGACAGAACTGTCCAGGGAGGTTTTATGGGGTGACAATCTAAACAGCACAGTCTGAGAACAAGCCAGCAGCAGGACTGATGTTGGCCATGGAAGGAGCCATCTCAGCAGAGGTCTCATGGCTGGACACCTGTGGAGAATCAGGCATAAGATAGTGTATGTTTGTGTGTGTGTGTATTTGTGTGTGTGTGTGTGTGTGTGTGTGTGTATGTGTGTGTGCATGTATCTTGCCCACATGCATGTCTATGTATCTGAGGTATACAGTGGACTCTCCTTATCCATGGTTTTGCTTTTTGGGTTTCAGTTACCAATGGTCAACTGCAGTTTGAAAATGTTAAATGGAAAATTTGAAAAATCAACAACTTCTAAGTTTTTAATTGTGTGTTGTTTTGAGTAGCAAGATATAATCTTGCATCTCCACACTATCTACCCTATCCACCCATTTTTCAGTTAATAGCAGTTTCAGTTTATCAGTTCAGCTGTCGTAGTATGGCACTGCTTGTGTTCAAGTTCACCCTTATTTGACTTATTGATGGCCCCAAATTCAAGAATAATAATGGTGGCATATTGTCATAATCATTCTATTTTATTATTAGCTATTGTTGTTAATCTCTTGCTGCACCTAACTTATAAATTAAACTTTATCATGGGTAAGTATGTATAAGAAAAAAGTAGTATACAAGGGGGGACCCAAAAAACCCAGACTTTATTTAGAAAAAACAATTGTGTATCTATTCTTACATGTTTAAACTTCAGTCACCTTCAAAGTACTCTCCATTTGGTGCAATACACTACTTGAGATGCTTTTTCCACTGCTCAAAACAGCTTCTGAACTCATCAACTTTGATGTCTTTTAGTCTTCTGCTGTTTTTTGTTTCACCTCTTCCACATCAGCAAAATGTTTCTTTTTGAAGATTTTTTTTTTTTTAATCCAGGGAAACAAAAACATAGTTGTTTGGGGAGAGATTGGGTGAATAGGGAGGGTGTGGCATGGAGGTCATGTTTTTATGGGTCAAAAACTGTTGAACACTCAGAATGGTGTAGGCAGGTGTGTTTATAAATCACCCATCATGAAATGGGCAAACGTGTTGAAAGAATCTCCAAAAATTTCGCCAAAGATTTTCACCAAAGCTCTTACCACAACACTAGCTAGTACACGGATGCCAAGGGGTTCCTAGAACACTTAACTAGTGGGGAAATCCTATACTGCAAGGCCTGCCCTCCAAAAGATAATTCTGGGTTTTTTTGGGGGGGGTCCCTTGTCGTATACAGGGCTCAGTATTGTAGTTTCAGGCATCTGCTGGGGGTCTTGGAATGTATCCCCCATGGATAAGAACTGACTACTAACTATATGGAATGCTGAGGAAGAGAGTCTGCATTAAATGACCTCCAAGACTGTATCCCACTGCACATATTTGGCCTGTCCTTGATGCTTTCTAGGAAAGGAGATGTCCTAGTGTCTAGTGTTCTCAACTTTCACTTATTGGATTGAAATTTTTAAAAAATTCTTTTATATCACTTGAAGAGTAATGTATTACAAAACCAAAAGTTATTTTCCTCTATTCAAACTGAATCTCCTCATGTTCCAGTTTCAGTCTTCTCAATGGATTTAAACATCAGAAATTCATTACGGCATGGAGCAATTTTTCCAAAGTGGGAAATAGACATCGCTGTTGGTATTTGAGAACATATGTGTTAGGAGGCATGTGATGCTTGCTTTAAATAATATCCAGTCAGATGTAAGGACAGTATTCCCTTTTCAAATCCCTTTCAATTCTGATTGTATCAAAGAGAAAGCTTCATTTTGGTTCTAGTCTTTAGTGCTTCTTTAACAGCTGTTAATCTCCTTTATTAGCAAAGGGAAAAGGAGCTTCAGGTTCTAAGCCTTGGGCAGGGAAGAGAAATCTCACTAGGACTTGATAATATCACTTTGCTTTCGTTATGCAGCCATATCTTGTTTTATTGTGCCTCGATTTAGTGAGCTTTGCATATTGCCTTTTTCTCTTTTTATACATAGAATGTTTGTGGTAAGTCTAACAGCACCATTTTTCCAACAGCATATGCTCACTTTGTGTCTCTGTGTCACATCTTAGTAATTCTCACAGTATTTCAATCTTTTTCTTTATTATCATATCTGTTATGGTAATCTGTGATTATCTTTTATGCTTCTATTGTAATTGTTTTAGGGTACCATAACACACACCCATATAAAATGGTAAACTTAATTGATAAATACTGTGTGTATTTTTGCCGTTCTTACTTCTCTGTTCCCCTCCTCAGACCTCCTAATTCCCTGAGACACAATAATATTGAAATTAGGCCAGGCCGGGCACAGTAGCTCACGCCTGTAATCTCAGCAATTTGGGAAGTCGAGGTGAGAGGTTTGCCTGAGGCTGGGGATTTGAGAACAGTCTTGGGTAACTTGGTGAGACTTCGTCTCTACAATAAATAAAAAAAATTAGCCGGGTGTGGTGGCACTCACCTGTAGTTCTAGCTACTTGGAAGGCTGAGGTGGAGGATTGCCTGAGCTCAGTAGGTAGATGCTGTGGTAGTCATGAGACTCTGAATCAAAAAGAAAGAAAGAGAAAGAAAAAGAAAGAAAGAAAGAAAGAAAGAAAGAAAGAAAGAAAGAAAGAGAAAGAAAGAGAGAGAAAGAAAGAAAGAAAGAAAGAAAGAAAGAAAGAAAGAAAGAAAGGAAGGAAGGAAGGAAGGAAGAAAGAAAGGCTAATTAATAACCCTACAATGTCCTCTTGGTATTCAAGTAAAAAGAAGAGTCACATGTCTCTTGCTTTAAATCAAAAGCTAGAAATGATAATGTTTAGTGAGAAAGGCATGTTGAAAGCTGGGCCTCTTGTGACAAACAATTAGCCAAAAAGTTGTGAATGCAAATAAAAAGTTCTTAAAGGAGATTAAAATTGCTACTCCAATGAACACAGGAAAGATAAGAAAGTGAAGACAGACATATTGTGGATATGGAGAAAGTTTCAGCGACCTGGCTAGCTCAAACCAGCCACAATATTCCCTTAAACTAAAACCTAATTCAGAGCAAGGCACTAACTCCCTTCAATTTCATGAAGGCTGAGAGAGATGAGGATGCTGTGGAAGAAAAGTTGGAAGCTAATGGAGTTTGGTTCATGAGGTTTAAGGAAGGAAGTCATCTCCATAACATAAAAGTACTGGCCAGGGCTAGACTCGGTGGCTTAGCCTGTAATCCCAGCACTTTGGGAGGCCACGGTGAGTGGATTGCTTGAGCCCATGGGTTCAAGACCAGCCCAGGAAACTTGGGGAGACCTCAACTCTACAATAAATTTTTAAAAAATTAGTAGGGTGTGGTATAAAAATGGTAAACTTAATTGATAAATGCTGTGCCTGTAGTTCTGTCTATTTGGAAGACTGAGGCAGAAGGATCTCATGAGTCCAGCAGGTTGATGCTGGGGTGACCATGAACATCACTGCACTCCAGCCTGGGTGACAGATTCCTTTGATGGATCTGAGCAAAGTAAATTGAAAACCTTCTGGAAAGGATTCACCCTTCAAGATACCATTAAGAACATTTGTGATTCATGGGATGAGGTCAAAATATCAACATTAACAGGAGTTTGTACTCTTTCTCAGGGATGACATTGAGGGGCTCAAGACTTAATCAGTAGAAGCAACTACAGAAGTAGTGGAAATGGTAAGAGACCTAGAATTATAAACGGAGCCTGAAGATGGGACTGAATTACTGCAATCTCATGATCAAATCTTAAATGGGTGAGAGGTTGTTCCTTATGGATGAGCAAAGAAAATTGTTTCTTAAGATGGCTGGGTACAGTGACTCAAGCCTGTAATTCCAGTACTTTGGGGCCGAGGTGAGAGGATTGCCTGAGCCCATGGGTTCAAGAACAGCCTGGGCAACATGGTGAGACCTCGTCTCTACAGTAAAATAAAAAAATTAGCAGGGTGTGGTAGCATGCACCTCTAGTTCCGGCTACTTGGAAGGCTGAGGCGGAAGGATCACCAGAGCCCAGCAGGTCAACGCTGGGGTGGCCATGAGCGTGCCACTGCACTCCAGCCCAGGTGATGAAGTGAGATTCCAACTCAAAAAAAAAAAAGCAGCCGCAGGGTTGAGAGGATTGTCTCCAAGTTTGAAATTTCTACTGTGGGTAAAATGCAATCAAACAGCATTGCTTGCCACAGAGGAATCTTTCGTGAAAGGAAGAGTCAATCAATGCACCAAACTTCATTGTTTTATTATTTTTAAGCAATTGCCACACCCACCCCAACTTTCAGCAACCACTACCCTGATCAGTCATCAACCACCAACATCTAGGCAAGACCCACTACCAGCAAAAATAGTACGACTTGCTGAAGGCTCTCAGATGATTGTTTGCATTTTTTGCAAGAAAGCATTCTTTAATCAAGGTATGTTACTCTTTTTAGACAAAATGCTGTTGCACACTTAATAGTCGATGGCATAGTATAAACATAACTTTCATATGTACTGAGAATCTAAAAAATGTGTGACTTGCTTTATTGTGTTATTTGCTTTGCTGTGTGATTTGCTTTGTTTTGTTGGTCTGTAACTGAACCTTCCCTATCTCTGAGGCATGCCTGTATTATTTTTATAGTCATTTTCCATTTATGGCAAGGGATTCTGGTTTTCCATTTTATGATAGCAATAAAAATATTCCTTTCTACATAAATGTATTTAAGAATCTCTGTCAATATAAACATTAATAGGGCAGATGGTAGGTAGGTCAAGGCCAAAATTATGAAGACAGTGCAAGAATGACGGACAGTATGAAATCCTACTTTGATGGAAAGAACAGTGAACATTAGAGTCAAAAAATTTGAGTCAGAGGCCTGACTCTGTTGCAATGAGTCATGGGAACCTGGGCAAATCACTTCAGCTCCCTGTAAATGGACGTGCTAGAGGAAGTACTTACCTCACTGGATCAAAGTCATGAGAGGGTGGGGAAGTTTGGTAAGTTGCAGCTAGGGGAGGTCAGGGGATGGACTGTACAGGTGTTAGGTGTCATTGCCATTACCCTATGCCTATAGGAGTAACAATTCTTTCTTCTTTCTAAGCCAGAAGGACATTTAAAGTAAGTCACAGTAGGATTCTGAAACCTTCAGGGCAAGGCTGGCTCTTTGTGGCATCCCTAGGGAAAGTCTAGTGGTTCTGAGTGGAAATGGGAGGTCATCTGTGGGGGAACTGGTTACCATTTGGTCTCCCCTTTTCTGGTTAGAAGTTGAAGCAGCAGAAACCTCCATCCCCATCCTCATCTAGACCCCTACTCTCTACTGAGTCAGAAACACACCAATATCTTGGGGGTGGCCTGTATTGTTTCAAGTATTGTTGTTTGAAACAGGTGTTTTACTAAACTGGGTAGGAAGAATTGTGTAACATATTCTTTTCTTGGATCTTGACTCTGGGGTTCCTGTTGTTTAGTGCAGTAGTTTTCCCTGGAGAATTTGGGTTTTGGTAGGTGGCATCCCATTGACCTGAGGAGGAAAGAGGAAATAGAAATGTTCAGCAATCAGTCAGTCATTTGCTGATCTTGCACTTTTAGAATACTGGCTAAGAGCCTATGGGAGGAGAGAGAATAAAGTGATCTGTCTCTCTCTCTCTTTTTATTTTTATTTTTTTAAGTACAAGTCTCACTCTGTTGCCCAGGCTGGAGTACAGTGGTGCGATAATGGCCATTCCAGCCTTGACTTGCTGGGCTCAGGCAATCTTTCTGCTCAGCTTTCCAAGTGGCTGAGACTATAGGAGTGTGCCACCACAACTGGCACATTTTTTGACTTATTATAGAGATGAGGTCTCACCAAGTTGCCCATGCTGGTCTCAAACCCTTGGGCTCCCAAAGTGCTGGGATTACAGGTATGAGCCACCATGCCTGGCCGATTTGCCTCATTTTTGATGAGGGATCAACACTAGACATCTGCAATGTTAGCGTATAAGAAAAGGTTTACTAGCACTTGGTTCCTGATCTGTCTGATGTCAAAACCAAAGCACTTTCTACAACAAGCCAGGAAGATGAGGTCAGTTGTGAAGGCACAGGACTAGAACAATGAGGTGGCCTGAAGAGTGTGAACAGGGAACAATGGAAAAGCAGCAGCATGCTAACAAAGCAAATGATATGGAGGTGAGATGAGATGGGGACAGAGCTGGTGGCAGGGGGTATGGCTGGTGTGCCTTGGAAGCAGTGTGGGCTTCTGGTGGAAAGGCTGGAGCCAAGTGGCAGCAATACATGAAGGGAACCAAAATAAACAAAAAAAACCCAGAATTTTTTTTGTTTTGAAGGTGGGCCCCTTGTAGTTCAGGCTTCCCCTGCCAGGCAAGTGTTCTAGGAACCCATTGGTATCAGTGTACCAGCTTGCATTGTCACAAGAGGCTGCATTCAGCCTCAGTAGGTTTTTTTTTTTTAAAGATTCTTTCAGAGTGTTTGCCCATTTCAAGATGGGTGATTTACAAGTGCACCTGCCCACACTGCGCTGAGTGTTCCACAGTTTTTGACCAAAGATGGCAAGACCTCTGTGCCCCACCCTTCCTATTTGCCTGATCTCACCCTGAGTGACTTTTTTTTATTGTTTCCCTGGATGAAGAAAGTCCTTGAAGGGAAATGTTTTTCCCACGTGGAAGAGGTGAAACAAAAAATGGCAGAGGCACTAAAAGGCATCCAAACTAATGAGTGCAAAGACTGTTTTGAGCAGTGGAAAAAGCATCTCAATAGGTGTATTGTATCAAATGGAGAGTACTTTGAAGGTGACTGAAGTTTAAACATGTAAGAATAAAGACAATTTTTAATAAATAAATTATGGGGTTTTTTGGGTTCCCCCTCATATTAAATAAGAAGGAGAGGCATTGTTAGGGAAGCACCCAAGAATGTGTAGGGTTTGATGAAAGAAATGAAAGGGAGGATGTAGAGATGGTGCTGAGGTCTTGAGCCTGACCATCTGGGAGGACAGAATACCTGGCCCTGGGGAGCGCAGGAAGAAGAGCATCATCTCAGGCGAGACTGAGCGGCTGACTTCAGCAATGCTGATTCTGAGGGACTTCCAGGAGGAAGTCAACTGTCCATCACAAAGTTGGAGAGAAACGCCAACTGGCGTTCAGAAGAGTCAGGGCTGGAGATGAGTATCTGAGAGCCATGGGCACTCCAGGGAACCAGGAGGCAGGGAAAGAGAGCATGTAGGATAGAAAGCACATCTTTTTTCCATCTACACACATCCTCAAAGTCACCTGTTTTTCCTAAAAGTGGGGTGAAATTCTGCCTCTTTATGGAGAGAGAGAGAGACACAGGAATATCCCACCCAGTCTCCTCCAGACTTGCATGCAAGCCCACATGTCCACGTGAAATAACAGCAGGAAACCTAGATCTGATTTCTTGTCTCCTCTCTAGCAAGTCCAAGTTTAGAAGCCCGCAAGGAATGGCGCAGATTTGGAACAAATGTCTGGAGCTGATTGAGTTGCGGAACAGAAGTCAGCTGGCAGTGCATTTCCGTCTTCTCATCACACGCCTCCCTCTCCACCTTCCTTCTCCTCTTCCCACTAGCTCCTGCTCCCTCAACCCCCAGCCCCTTGCCCCCGCTCCCTTACCTAAAATTCCCAGATACACTCTTTGGTAATTCCTTCGCTGTCTGCCAAAAGAGTGCCGCTTCGGTCAGCTCGCATGTAGAAGCCATTGGGCGCCAGCACGGTGAGCAAGTTGCTTCCCTGAAGCTCTATACAAAAGTTGAGGGCAAACTTTCCCCAAGGGCGAAAGGTGCCAAAGGATGATATTGACCAGAAGGATCCACCCTGTGCTGGGGAGGGAAAGGCTGTTCGCAGGGGCGTCCTCCAGCAGTTTGGCCTAGAGGGGCTTCCTGGAGTCCCACCATCCTCCCTCCCCTGGCTGCCCATCCTGCCTGCATTGGCAGGTACTCTTGGGTAAAGCAGGAGGGCTCATAGGGATTCCACTGGCTTCTGTTCTGCCAACCCACTCTGGGGCCTTGAAGTGCAAAAACAAACAGAAGCCCTGTTTTTCCTTCTTTGATGAGCAGGCCCTGAGAGAGGCGACCTGAAGTCTGAGTTGGGACTGAGGCAGGCACTAGGCCATGATCCCTGGGGCAGGAAAGAGGAGCCACTCACCCTGGAAGTGGTAGATGCCCTGGTGGCAAGGCAGCAGGTGAATGCAGTCGGGCTGATCCAGATTGCATCGTATGAGGTCATGATCTGAGGAGGAGCCCACGTACCCATAGCGACCTCGCAATACAAGGAAGGGGCGGTTGGCTAGCCGAATCCCAAACTCCTCATTTGGGCCTGAAAGAAAGAGGAAGGAGTTATCTGGATGTTTTCCCAGATGGAAGCAAAGGAGGAGGGGGAGTGGGGGTGGAGTGGGGGGGGTAGAGTAGGGAGGGTGGAGTGGGGGCTGGGGAGGGGACTAATTGCAGAAAGGTGCTGTCGATATTTGACATTTAATGAACACCCACTACGAGTCAGGTCTTATACCAGGTGCTTGTGAAATAGTTGTGAGAGCACCTAGCTCAAGAAATGTTAATATTCTTCCTTCCTTTGAGATATGTTTATTTATTTAATCCTCATGACAACTGGGAGAGGCAGCAGAGTGGCTATCATCTCCACTTTTACAGACAATACAACCGAGGCTCAAAGGGGTGGTTTGCTCAAGTGATGACAAAAATCAGTGACTGAGCAAGTATACAGACCCAAATCTTCTGGCCCCAACTCCAGACGCCAGTGCCTTTTTTTTTTTTTTTTTTTGAGATAGAGTTTCACTCTTTGTCCAGGTTGGAGTGTACAGTGACACCATCACGGCTCACTGCAGCCTCAAACTCCTGGGGTTCTGAGTAGCTGGGACTACAGGTGAGTGCCACTACACCTAGCTAATTTTTCTATTTTTGTAGAGATGAGGTCTCACTTTGTTGCCCAGGCTGGTCTTGAACTCCTGGCCTCAAACCATCCTCCTGCCTCAGCCTTCCAAAGTGCTGGGGTTACAGGTGTGGGCCACCACACCCATTTTTTTTGTAGTTTGTTTTTTAAAATTCTACTTCCTTCTATAAGCATCCCTAACCTGGGAGGAGGGGCGTTCCATGTACCTGGAAGGCTGGCATTGGCCATCAGCAGGCCATTGGCTGCAATGGTCAGGAAGCGCCCATGGGAGGACTGAAGGCTGATCCTACCACAATTCCAGTGCACACGGAAGAGGGTGTCAGACTCCATGGGGTGCCCATCAGCCATCACTGTCCTGTGGTGCCTCTGGAGAGAATATCAAGAATAGGGATGAGGAGTAAGGACCAATAATCTCAGCATTTTTCCCATCATTTTTTTTATTCCTAGACCCTCTTCTCATCCCACCTGCCAGCGTTTTCCATTCTCCCAGAAGTTATGCTTTGAGATCCTTTTTGGAAAATACATGGAGGCCTCTGTTCTCCTACTTCCTCCAGTCTGTGCTGTATCCCAGAGCACAGCATAAAAAGGGGGCCAGGATATCACACGGAGAGAAATGAAGCTCAGCCCTGACTCCAAAATAATTTTGAAATAGATCATAGACAAACAAATGAAAGTTAAACTATGAAACATCTAAAAGAAAATGAGAAGGTTTTTGCAACTTTGGGATATGCAATGATATCTTGGGGCAAGAAAAGCAGTAACCAAAAAAAAAAAAATAGACAAATTGAACATCATCAGAATTAAAAAATTGCTTCTCAAAGGACAACAGTAAGCAAACGCAAAGGCAAGCCACAGTGGGAGAAAGCGTTTGCCTTATATATATGGCAAAGGACTTGAATAAACATATAAAGAACTCTTACAACTCATAAATAAAACAGAGAACCCAATAACAAACGGCAAAAGACCTGAACAGACACCTCAGAGAGAGTATATGAAAAAGGCCAATAAGCACCTGAAAAGATGCTAAAAATGACTAATTATAAGGTAAATGCAAATTAAATTCACAGTAAGAAGTCATTACACACCCAATACAGAGGCAACAACAAAAAAAGATAAACAATACCAAGTGTTGGTGAGAACTTGAAGCACTTAGAACCCTACTACAAGACTGACAAGAATGTACATTGGTTTAGTCACTTGAGAAAACAGACATTTTTTTTTTTTTGAGTTGGAGTCTCACTCTGTCACCCATACTGGAGTGCAGTAGCCACTCCTGGCCACCGCAGCCTCGACCTGCTGGGCTCCGGCGATCCTTCTGCCTCAGCCTTCCAAGTAGCTGGAACTACAGGTGCGTGCTACCACGCTCGGCTCATTTTTAAAATTTATTGTAGAGATGAGGTCTCGCCAAGTTGCCCAGGCGGGTCTCGAACTCACGGGCTCAGGCAGTCCACTCACCTCAGCCTCCCAAAGGCACGGGATTACAGGCTGAGGCACGGAGCCCGGCTGACATTTTTAAATAGTTAAATGCACATCTATCATATGACCTAGTAATTCCACCCCTAGGTGTTCACTCAAGATAAATGAAAATGTAGGCTCACAAAAAGACTTGTACATGTGCTGGACTTGGTGGCTCAGCCTGTAATCCCAGCACTTTGGGAGACGGAGGTGAGTGGATTGCCTGAGCCCACGGGTTCGAGACCTGCCCAGGTAACCTGGCGAGACCTCATCTCTACAATAAATCAAAAATTAGCCGGGTGTGGTAGTGTGCACCTATAGTTCCAGCTACTTGGAAGGCTGAGGCGGAAGGATTGCCGCAGCCCAGCAGGTCGAGGCTGCGGTGGCCGGGAGCGGCCTATGTACTCCAGTCTAGGTGACAGAGTGAGACTCCAACTCAAAAAAAAAAAGACTTGTACGTGAATGTTCACAGCAATTTATTAATGATGGCCCAAACTGGAAACAACCCAAGTGTTCATCAACAAGTGAATGGATAAGCAAATTGTATTGATGAGTAGTAGTATAGAATACTACTCAGCAATAAAAAGGAATAAACTACTGATACGTGAACATTATGAATGAATCTTAAAAACCTTGTACCAAGTAAAATATTTACCAGTCATGCCATGTGTTACCATTTGTATGAAATTCTTTTTTTGAGTTGGAGTCTCACTCTGTCACCCAGGCTGGAGTGAAGTGGCACAATCATGGCCACTGCAGCCTCAGCCTGCTGTGCTCAGGTGATCCTCCTGCCTCAGTCTTACAAGTAGCTGGGACTACAGGTGAGTGCCATTTCACCTGTCTAATTTTATTTACTTGTTTATTTATTTATTTACTTTAGAGACAAGGTCTTGCCAAGTTGCCCAGGCTGGTCTTAAGCCCCTGAGTTCAGACAATCCTCTCACTGGGATTACAGGTATGAGCCACCATGCCTGGACTCCATCTGGATGACATTCTAAAGTAGGCAAATCTAATTCATAGTGACAGAACACTGATGAATGGTATTGGGGGTGGGTAGAAGGGTGAAGGGAACTGATTGCAAAGGGGCAGGAGGATTTTTGTAACAATGGGGCTATTTTCCAACTTGTGGTATGGTTACAGCATGGGTGCATGGTTGTATACATTTGTCGAAACTTCCTGAATTGTATACTTAAAATAGGTGCATTTTATTCATAAAATAAACATACCTACTATACATAATATATTTGTACATGATTTATATGTATTCTATAATGTGTATACCAGATGCCAATAAATGTGTACACATCTTAAGAGATGTTAACTATGTATTACAGCCGGGCATGGTGGCTCATGCCTATAATCCTAGCACTTTGGGAGGTTGAGGTGAGAGGATTGCCTGAGCCCATGGGTTTGAGACAAGCCTGGGCAACATGGTGAGACCTCATCTCTACAATAGATCAAAAAATTAGCTGGGCATGGTGGTGCATACCTGTGGTTCCGGCTACTTGGAGGGCTGAAGTAGAAGGATCGCCTGAGCCCAGCAGCTGGAGGTTGTGGTGGCCACGAGCGTGCCACTACACTCTAGCCTGGTCGACAGAGTGAGACTCCGACTTAAAAAAAAAACCAACCAACCAACCAATGTATTACTTTTAGTTTGTGCTAATCAGATGTGTCTGGGCACTGATGGTAACCACTGTGAGCACCTCTTATTTTTATTTTTTAATTTTTTTGTTTTTTGAGTTGGAGTCTCACTCTGTCACCCAGACTAGAGT